AGTGGAGCACTGCCAAAGGGTGAAAGCAAAAATATATGCACTCATATATATATTTACAAACAGGCGACGATTGCGACTCGATTATTTACAATTTGATTTTATTTTTACAGCCATTGACAAACAGGAGGGAGAAACTCGTTGATACGATTGTGTGTGCTGTGTGTGTTATGTGTGTGTTGTGCTGGGCTCCCCGAAAGGCATTTCCCGGCGCAGTGAGAAAAATCAATCAAAATCGATTTAAAAGCACAACTTCCGTTGCGGATTTACCAATGTCCGTGTGTGCGTGTGTTTGCCATTGGGCGTGTGGTTGTGTGGGTGTGTGTATTGTGAAAATGTTACCAATTTATTTGTTTTTATGCCCTCGTGTGTGTTTTATTGCCTCGGCTTTTGTTGCTGTCATTGTCGCTTTGTTGCCCTCATCCGAGTCCATTTCCCTTTTTGCCCGCCCCCGAAAATGGGGAAAAAAGGGGGAATCACTTTGCATGCGTCCGTCTTCTGCTTTCACACACATATTTGGTCAATTTTCAATAACGGAATTGAGGCACACACACACCGTTACGCACGCACACATAAGCAGGCACTGAACGCATTTACAATTGGATTTCTGCTTTTCCTTTTTTTTCAGGGTAAAGGATTTGCTTGGGGACTGGAAGGCCGAACAATAAAAGAGTGGAAATGGCATAAATACGTAATTCAGGACATTTGAATTTTTCATAAGGACATGACCCACATACAAATAAAACACACAAAAATTATCACAATTCTCTGGTGCTCGCACATATTGGAAAATGCGTGTGCGTGTGTGTGTTTCGGAAAATCCTGCTGCAGGGTAAAGGAAATTTGCTTATATTGCTGATAGTTTGCATTGTAATTGAGTGGAAACAGGAAAGAGATATTTTGGGAAAGAGACAGAAAGATGTGGAGTCTGCAGATTGGAGTTTGGGAATTACTAAGAGATGAATGGGGAATTTTCAGTAGTCAAATTACTTGTTGCCCTATATAAAAGTGTGACTCGGTAAAATAACTTGAGGATAATAATTTCTGAATGGAAAATTTTAATTGAGTTTCACAAAAGGAGTTGAGTTAAATGGTGGAAAGCTATGGAAGCAATTATTAAAGTATGGATAAAGATTGGTATGTAAGAAAGAAAATTAACTTTAATCATGATGCATCATCTGTCGTATTTCTTTAAAAAAATGTTATCTAAAAAACCAATTCACTTGCAAAATGTGTTACACTTTTTCAATAGCTTCAAAGGAAATCCGTAAACGATAAACATCGATGATTGCATACTGAAGCAAGTGACAGCTTTCACTTTTCCAAATATATCACGTTGCGAACATGGGCAATAAATCACAGGATGTCCATAAGTCACACCTTCCTACACTCATTTCCCCCTGACTTCGATTAATTTGACACCGAACTCGATATCCTCGGACCTTTGGCCCCAGATATGTAATAGATAGGAATCGCAGTTGGCCAATTATTGTTCATCCCCACCTCTCACGCAATCTTGCACCACCGCTAAACCACCGAGCCACCCGAATTTCTGAGTGACACTTGGCATCACTTGAGTGCGCGACCACCTGACAAATACCTCGGGTATCATTCACGCCAGGAATCGGAATCGGAATCGAAGTCGGAATCGCTCACTCATATAGCCAGCCACTGATTGGCATTGACAGACGTCGACGCAGACGCGTCGCCGGGCAACTGCAATTTTGTATCTTGATAAATTACTTATGACTGGCCCAGACATTGATGAGTACTCGGTACTCGGTACTCAGTACTCAATGGCAGGGGGCGGCGGGGGGAGGCCTCGGGCACGCAGCACAAGCCACTAAGTGCGCACCTGAAAACATTTAACGATAACCAAACAAGTCGCCAAGCGGGGGAAAAGTGTCGAAGCGAAAGGATACCTCTTTGAAAATAAATTAGAGCTTTGGAGATAAAAAGGAGCATATACTTTTTAAATAACTAGTGATCCAAAAAATGTATAGAAATTTTTGACGCTTTTTTAAGGCGCTATCAAATTCTGCTGATGTAAAGAATTGTATTAGAGATTTAAATTAATATTTTTATACAAGTTGTTTATGTTTCTTAAATTTGTGTCATCTTCTAAATTGTAAATTAAATCCTGTGTATACTATTTAAAATTAAGAAAATCTGAAAAGATTACCCAAAAGTCCAACTATATAAATTAAAAAGGTGTAAAACAAATATAAGGTTCTTAAACTTGGTCGAAAAGAGCTTGACTGTGGGTGTTGGCAAAAAAAAAGGGTGCAACGAAGAGCATACTGAAATGAATTAGTAATAATATTTGCTTGTTTGCCTTTGTGCTGCTTATTCTCCCCGCCCCCTCAGCTTGCACATTTCACGTTCTTTATTTTATTTTTTTTGCAAAAGTTTTTCTTTTTTTTTTCGCCATACTTATAACGATTTCGTAGCTGTTTCTGTGTTTTGGCAGCCAACAAAGGCGACATCGAAATGGGTTGCTGAGCGCTGCGAAGGGGGGCAGAAAAGTGGGGAAATCGATGAGACGACAACTTGTGATGGCGGTATGGCAGTACGGAGGTCTGGAGGTATGGATACTCGGAGGTTTGGATGTGGTGGAGGCGTCGCCGACGGCGTCGGTGGGACAGTTAATGGCGACAACGGCAGCGCACGTCTGGAAGCCCCCGACTTTGGCGACGCGATGCGATCCGTGGATGGTAATGGTGACGCTGACGGTGTCGTCGACCAGACGAAATCCCGCCAGCAGTCAGTAGCCGAGAAAAATAGTGGCACACACAACCAGACAGACTCCTTCGGAATGACAGAGAACCAAAGAAAAAAAAATAAAACAAGCCAGGACGAGCAGCCCCATCCCCAAAAGCTGAGTAAATCAAACCAATTTCAAAACTCAACTAACCACGCAGACAATAACAAATCACGTCCCTCGAAAAGAGGATGTGATGGATGAACCAATTGCTAAACGTTATTAGAGCTCTAAAGAGGGGAATTTCAAATACATTTGCTGGATTATTTCTTAAAGCGGCTATAAAACTTCTAAGAATTTATTTTAATACCTGAAAAGTGTTGCATACGATTTTTAAGTCCATAATTCTGACCATATTTATAGCCTCTTAAAATAGAAAACTTATTTCCAAATACTTAAATTCAAATTCTAAGAAGACTCAAGCTTATACTAAAAGGCGGTAATACAAAGTCTGGATTATTTTAGAAAAGGTTTCTTTGAAAAGAATCTGTCAACAGCCTTTAAAACAACATTATTCTAACAATTTAAAACAAACAAAAGCACACCGCCCCTAAGCTTAAAATTAAACATTGCAACGCCAAGAAATATCACAGCCTTTCTTCAGCAGCCACTTTTGTGTCAACCTACGTCAAAAGGAATTTTTTTATGAATTCAATCAATGAAAACGTAACTGGCTCTTCATCCCTTTATTGCAAACATATATCAGCCAGACAAATCGAAATTACTTTCGGTTAGTGGTTTGGGCTTTCATCCAGAATCCCGAAAACGGAATCAAATGGAGCGGGTGAGATTCTTAATAACGACTTCCGAGGGGCGCTTAAACTGTTTGCTTTTGCCTCGCTGATTGTGTTTTCTGCATTTGTTTGTTGATGTTTCTGATTCAGAATTCGACGATGCACAGGCGCCCACAGTAAACACACTTGAAAAGCGATTCAGTCAACAGTTCAGCGCGGCAGACAGTTGACTCGTCGAAGAAGCCCCCAAAAAGACAGCTGAGAAAGGGGGACATTCCGCCAAGCCGACAACCACCCACTGTTGTCCTTGGGTAAACACGCAATTTTCCACTCTTTGGACCGCTGCACGTGCTGAAAACCGGCAAGAACAATGGCAGCAATCAGTCAATAAGTGAAATTAAAATAATAACAAATTTCTGAAAGAAGCACCAGTCAAATATAATCAACGCAATAGGAAAAAATAAAGCAAGTACGCGAGGGGTGCGAGTTCAATGGAAACATTTTTCCATTTAACTCATAAAAATAATTTCGTGCGCGATTTTGTTTAGAGATGCGATTCGATTTTCGGATATTAAGTTAAAGTATTGTGTGCGTGTGTGTTGTTTCGGTTGGGAATATTTGTTCAAATGTTTGTTTACAATGCCGGCAACAAGTTGATGGCTATTGAGTGGGAGAGAATAAATATGTTTAATGATTGTTTTTATAATTCCTCCACAAGTCAAAGAATTGCGCAATTCGTTCGATGGAAAATGCCCAAAAATATTCACTTCCTCTTGATAAATCAATACGGAAAATCAAACCTATCATATCGGCTCGGCTATGCCCGCCAAGCAACAAATTGCTCACTTTTCTGGGTGTGTATATAAAGTTCTTTCTTTGTATTCATTGTGTAAGTGTTCGAGGAAACCGAAAAAGGACCCGTTCTGTCTCTTATCCTTTTCTTCGCCACTTCATTTCCCCCTGCTCTGCAACCAAAAAAAAAAAAGAAAAAAAAAGGCGGGAAAGAAGAGGAAAGAAAAGCTGAAAATGTTTTTCCCACTCTTTGGTGGCCCTAATCAAGTAACCCGAACACGTTCTTTGTTAGATTTATATGGAAAATATATTTTTATACATGCAACCCAATGAATCCCAACCCACCCACTTGCCACCACCACCGCCCGCTGTGAGAAAACTGGCTCCTTGGGGGTGGCTAGACTTTCCCGGCTAGTCAAAAGTGATATTTTACATATTTTCCGACAGTTTTTCCTTTATTTTTCCACTTCCCTGTCCTCGTTCTTGGCTGCTCCTTTTTTTTGGCCCAGCCTTGCTTGCATTTTATTACTTAACGCTTAAGTGTGCTTCTTAGAGAGGAAAAAGGGGCTTGGAATGGTGGGTTCTTTTTTTCTTCGCAGAGTTTTCTGTTTTAAATTGAAAAGTTGTAAAAGGATTTCTTGGGTTGCTCCTTTTTCTTTCTCTCCGCTAGAGTTTGCCAAATTAAACACTCTCCTCTTTTTTTTTTGGAAATGATCAAACAGAAAAGTTTTATTCAAAAAATATGGGGAATGGGGCAAATAACAAAGATGGAAATGAAATGGAACAATTGGTGGGGGAGATGAACACAATGAAATCACGGGTTATCACAATTACCAGCTGCCACCGCCTTGGGGAGCCCAACCGCCGCTGGAGGCACCACCTGAGGACCAGCCACCGCTGGAGGCTCCGCCGGAAGACCAACCACCACCGGAAGCTCCACCGTAGCCACCACCGGGCGCACCACCCGAGGACCAACCACCAGAATCTCCAGCTCCAGAATCCGATTCCGAGATGATTTTGATAATCTTCACAGCAGTTTGAGCCTCAGCACCGCCTCCTCCGGAAGACCAACCACCACTGGAAGCTCCTCCCGATGACCAGCCACCACTGGATGCACCACCGGAAGACCAGCCACCACCGGAAGCTCCACCATATCCTCCGGCAGATCCTCCATAACCGCCGCCATGACCTCCAGACGATGCCTGCTGCGAGATGATCTTGATGATCTTGACTTCCTGAGCGCCACCACTGCCATGTCCGCCACCACCGCCAGCAGACCAGCCACCGCCTCCGCCGCCAGCAGACCAGCCACCGCCAGCACCACCTCCAGATTGCCAGCCACCTGCACCACCAGATGGAGCAGATTCGTGGATCACTTTGATGACCTTGACGGGTGGCGAACCACCACCACCATGATGATCCGAGCCGTGATCAGAGCCACCGCCGCCGTAGCTGTAGCCACCACCTCCACCGCCGCCATGGGAGGATCCACCACCACCGTAGCCGCCACCACCAGCTCCTCCAATGAATCCAGCTTGAGCCACTGCGGCCACAGCCAGCAAACAGACGAAGATTTTCATGTTGACCTGATGGAGATGAGCCAAAGCGTCTAACTGATGCCTCTGCCAGGTCGTGGCAACACTTTTATAGGGCCAACACCACCGAGATGCGAGGCGGCCTTGTCCGGAAGCCAACGCAAGTGGTGCACTGCACTACGGACACCCCCGGGCCAGTTAACACAGTATTAACACAGGCTCGAGTGGCTCCGGCGAAAGCCTCGGTGGGTCGATGTCGATGTCGATTTCGAAAGACTCTCCCCAAAACCACAATTGAAGGCTACATTTGCTGATCGAATCAGTTGGGGAATGGTTTTAATAGTTGACTGAAATACGCTTTCTTCGAAGGCAACGTATAATCAAGAGCTGTCGAACGTATCATGTAATTAAGGTTTGATGGTTTTGATGAAGTTGTCTAAGAAATAAATTACACATAATTTATGCATCACTGTGAAGCAATTCGATGATCCAAATACTGTTTAATAATTTAATTATAATAAAAGTGTAACTTAAATAAGTTATTTGTATCTTCACATTACCATAACATTATAATGGATTTATATTAAACTGGTGTAAATTAAATACAAGGCTAAGTACTTTAAAGATTTTACAAAACTCTAATCCTATGTTAATTTAAGTATGTTTAAATATAAATTTAGATTTATGGTACACAAAAGAAAATTACAAATAGTTAGCTAATAAATTTAAATTTATATTTTTTCAGACATACAACTAAAAGGGTATCTGATTAGCGACTTCAATCAAAGTTTGTTATACTTTCTCGTGATTTGTTTGGATTATGTAATCAAATACACAGTGGGCAAACAAATAAGTGTGCAGTCAGCCAACAATATTTTTGGCGCTTTGAGCGCACTTGAACCGAGTTTTTCCCCTGGATCGCACAACATCTGCCTGTGGCACTCTCGCCCCTTTCCACCGGTCGAAGCCATGATTAATGAGTCCGGAGTTCAAGACGCAGGTGATCGGGCCCAGGTGAGAGGACAAGGCGACAGGCGGGCCGGGTTCGTGCGCTTTCAACTGTCCCTGACATCGATTTCTGGGCTACCGCTCGGAGTTGTTACGCATGCGATTCGGACGGGGATCACTTACCAATTACACGCAGAAAAAAGCAATCAGATTGGAACTAAATAATGAACAATAACCTCCATCAAGCATATCAAAAGGTGAGTTATATTTTTTAATGAAAAATGCAATACTTTCTGTTAAAAAAAATATTAAAATTAAAATACTATCATTAAATAAAGTATGAATAAGGATAAGGCCTTATCAGCATAAATTGTTTTTAGTTTAGATTGTGTAATCAAAATAAAACATAAAACCGTATTCATTTTTCACAGTAATAGTAACCTTTGTTGTTTTTATTTTTTTTCCAATGCATTGTCTCCTGTTTCTTTGGCCCCCATTCCAGAATCTCTTCCGTTCATTCATCTGTTCCAGCACCTTTGCATCCATTCATCGATCATCTAGCTGGGGGCAACAGTTCTCAATGAGACGTCAAGTTCTCATTAAGACGAGAACCGCATGCAAATGCCAGATCAATTAATCAATTTGTTTTGCCAATAAATACGACTAAATATGGCCAACGATCTCTGCCAATAATGATAAATGGTTTCACCAGCTTGGTTTTTCAGCTTTTGCAGTCCATTTGGTTTATGTTATTTTATCTCTTTACATTTTCACTCGTCCAAATGAATTCAATTAAGCGAAAAATAAAAAAAGGCCAAAAAATTAACGTGGGAATATTTTTTGGCCTGCGCTTGGCCACGCATGACAAATATGTCAAGCAACTTTGGGCCCCGCAGAGTGTTCCCCTTCTCTATGGCTAAATAGACTACGCATGCAACTAGTCGCCAGTTTTATACATTTCGAAGCCCAAGGCGGAAAAGACTGGCTTCAATGGGAGATAAATTAATAGTCATTAATTTCCAAATACCTAGATATAACTCTATTTGAATTTTTGGAATGACAAGTGGTAAAAATCAAGAAGCAAACAAAAAGTGTTAAGTATATTCTTCAATAATTTATTATATATTAAATGTGTTACAAAACACAAAAATAAATATAAAATATGCATATAATATAAATAATTTTATTTATGATAAAATCCCTTACCAAATTTCCAAAAAATGGGTTTGCTAAAAATGTACCAAATTTTACCAGTTCTATGTCCATAACTTTTCTAATTTTAATCAGACTTTGAAGTGGCCTACCTCTAAATATTTTTATTTTAATTCTATAACAAGCTGCATCATTAGTTATTTTTTTAATTTTTGACGAAAAATCATCATTATAGAACAATGTTGTGGCCTGAATGGATTTTGCTCGACATTTGTGATGTCTGCAAGGATATATAAGCTTCGGTTCGCCGAAGCTAGCTTCCTTTCTAGTTTTTAAACTTGAAGTTTTATTTAGGAAAACGAAAATTAAATTAAATGTAACTTCGGAACTAAATATTTTCTGACGCTTGAGGCGAAGCCCTTGGAAAAGTTGCTTAGGGTTAAACTAGGGAGCTTCTCCCTCGCCCTTCTCTTATTTCACATTTAGTGAGTCTGACATTTGGTGGAAATATTGCTGGAAATGTTTGCCGGTCGAGAAGTGAAATAAAGTTGCAATTCCTGCAAGAGCTGTCAAAATGTTGCTGCTGCCGCTGCCTTTTGCTGCAGTTGCTGCAGCAGTTGCATTTGCTGCAGTTGATATTGCCGTTGCTGCTGGGCTCGGCAACCTGCTGACTGTTGACTGCTGCCCGTCGTTTTCCCATGTGAATGCTTAACCGATTGCAAGTGCCTACCCTCTCGCCCCCAACTAACTCCTTTCCATTTCCCCTCCCCGTTGCAGTCAACTTGCCTGATATTTTTACCAAAAACAATTTCGACAGTCGCGCATTTTTCACGCTGCCTCATTTGCAGCGATTTTCAATGCGATATTTGTTGCTGCTGCCGCTGCCGCTGCCACCGATTGTTGTTGCTAGTTGCAGTTGTTGCATTGCTTGTTGTTGCTTGTTCACATAACCATAACTCCGCATGGCACCTCAACAGATTGTGCTGAGTTTTTCCATACCCTTAAAGGGGGTACTTACCATAATATTTGTCTTTTATATACCAAATTGTATATTTTAAATTATTTAGAAACATTGTAGAATTAATGTAGGAAAGACAATGAATGCAATTTAAAGGTACATTTTGCTTTAACAATTTTTAAATCAAAACAAAGCCATTTCAACCATAAATTTATTTAAGTGAATATTTTTTCAGAGTATTTAGTCCTCTATAAACGATTTTATTTAAGCTATTCCCTCACATACGCTGGGCCACAGTCGACTTTTATTTCGTTTGATTTCCTCGCCTTCAGGATCGTGACACACCGCCGTGGATGTTGCAACTGTTGACTGGCGAGCGGCAAGCAGAAATAGTTGCGATTAGCTTGGCCTGGCCCTAAATGAAATCAGCGGCCATTCGAGTCATAAATGGCTGGAAAAACCTTTGCTAATATGTCATGAGCCCATCGACGAACGAATAGCGTCGAATAGCAGCGACGACGAACGTCGAGCGGGTCAGCGCGAAACATTGGGCAATTGGCATTTGTCGGATTGTGTGAGTTGTACGAGTGCCATGGAGTACTATACTGGGGTGTTATGCGCTATGTCATCGAAACCAGTTTACCGTTAGCACACACATATGTCCCAATCAGTACAGTAGAGTGCAGTACAGTACAGTGCAGTACAGCACAGCACAGTACAGTGGTGACCCATTAAAGCAATCAGCGGCAAACACATGTAAGTCAAGTGGCAAACAGCGGGGCACGGAGTCCCAACTTCGATTCCCGCCTTGTTTTTGGTTACGGTTGCGGCTCATTACGCAGCTCGCTTTGATTTGCATAGCGATTGAATGGAGTTTGGCCGAAATGGAGTTGGCCCCTTGGGAGTTGGCCAGCCAGCCAGCCAAACAGCCAGCCAGCCAAACAGCCAGCCAGCCAGTCCGCAATCCCTCGATTTTCCCCCTTTGGCCGGCTCTTTGATTTGTGTGACATGTGCGCAGAGAATTATTTGCTTATTGTTAAACATTTGCGTTTGAATAACTTGTAAGCTGTCAGAGGGCAACACCGGTACTATTAACCCATGGCGGGTCTTAGTGACTTGGTCTTTGGGAAATGAGTTGGTATTAATCACATTAGCGGAAGAGTACGGAACTCTCTGGGGATTTAGGGGGATATTGAATTAAATGGCGCTTTTAATGGGTTTTATTGTGAAGAAGCCATCAATAAGACAAAATTTACGAGTTGGAGAGTCCTTGTTTATCAATTAAAATGAAAGGCAATCTAGAATGTTAAAAACGATTGTGATATTGTGCAATGTATACATATATATATTTATCTGTTTAGACAAGATTTTTATTTATTTAAATAAATTTTAAAAGTTATTGAATACTAAACAGCAAATATTGTTGCAAATAAGTTTCTCCTTATTTTAAAGGGTGTGCCTCATGGGTTAATAACACAAGTTGGACATGTAGTTAGCGTTATTGGCGATTGTCATATTCGGGCGGCATTCCTGCAACGTCAATAGTAGATTGTCGATTGTTGAGGCCGTGCAACCGGCTTATTACCGACTATATCAGATGGCCGGAGACACTGAGACACACGCGGCGTATGCGCAATGTCGATCCCATTGCATTCTCGGCCGCTTTTCGATTGCTTTATTGCATTTTCCATCGCTGCCGCTGCTGCTGACCATGTCACATTCGCTTTTCGTCTCAATTGCAGTTGAAAGACAAATTGCGCACCTTTGGCAGCTTGGAATTTGACTTTTTGATTGACAACTGCAACGATCTGCGATCGACAACGAAATCCAAGTAAAGCCGAAAAACAAACCAACGTTTGATTTCGCAAAGCTCTAAAGTTCAGTTTATTAAACGTTTGCCTGGTTTTCGGTGACCTCGAAAACAAATTCAATTATGCAGAAACAGCAAAAAATGTTTGCCCAAATTCGCGAGGCACCTACGCTGACTCCTAAAGCAATTTGCCAAGAA